TGATATGTTTCTAAGTTCTGAACATTCGATATATTACGAGTACGTTACCGGTGAGAAACAAACATCAGAATATCTTAGAAGAAACTCGGATGTGTGGTTCAAAATGAGTAAGTAAATTATAAAACCTACATTGATTAATGATTCTCAATTATTTTTTAATAATCAATGGAGGTTGAAATTAGTTAAATATTTACACTGTTGCGTTGTTTTAGTGTACATTCAACAGTTGGTGTATTATGTATATCAACGTTATTTGTTGGCTCCAAACACCAAAGCGACTTGTTGCTCCAGCCTGTTGCTTTGACCCGGGTTCATATTTCAAGAGTTAAACTTTGTTTCGGAAACTGACAGCTCTTTTACTCGTTTAAACGTTATTTCGATAAATAGAAGCAATACATTTATATGTTTTAAGGATCGTGGATAAAAAAGTAATCGCTAACTGTAACAGTATGTTATTAATTTAGCATATTCATAATTAATTTTATGTTTAATCCAAAAAAAAATCAGGGGGTTAGAGGGCACTGTATGCGGAACGGGTTGGAGAGGAGAGGGGGTTGTACCGAATCAATAACTATTCGAAGGTCAATTAAGCTTGTGTCCGGGGCCCGGTGGACGCTTGCCACCCCCAGACCTTACCTAGACCTCTCGCCTAGGCAATGCGACCTAGATTTTACAGGTGAAGGATATACCACCCAATAGACAGGGTGGCCACAAGGGATCGGTGAAGGGGGAGGGGTGCGGAAAAAAGTGACGAAATAACACAGTATACTGAGATATCAAGTATATTTATTAAGCTTCAAATTTAACGGACATTTTTATCATAATGCTACAACTCAAATACGGAATTAAATTAAATAAAATACGGGAATTTCGATAAGCTTTGTACTAAAAGGTACTTGCGAATTTGTGTATTTTGGTCTTAAATCATACAAGTATCACCAAGGCGAAGGGGGGGTTAATAATTTGCAAAAAAAAATACGTGAATAACGGACGACTGTTAACTTATTGTTCAAGGTCCAAGCCCCCGTGCTAACCTTGTCGACCACCCCGTCTCCCGCGCATCCATAGCACCTCACCCCACCCGACGCCCACATCTATGACGCACAAACCCCAACCCCTCGGCACGCCCTTTCCCAACCAATAACGCCCACTCCATCGACAATGAACAAAGGATTCTAAAAGTATCGATGATGTTCTTCAATTTATTTAAGCTCTACTTTTACTTCAAACATAAATTAATACGAATCAATGGTTATCAAAGATTTCTCTAAACTAAAGGTTTTCGGTTTCTATTGTGAGTTGGAGGTCTGTTAAACTTAAACCAAATATTTACAGAATTGAAAACCTCTTTATTTTAGGAAGTCGGTTAATTGATTTAATTTATTTATTGAATGTAAAGGATAAGCGGAAACAGTCCTCGATTTAATAATGATTTCGGCAGACGGAACAGTGGTAAAGCCCGCTTCAACATCCCACGAATGGGCGGACTCCCCCGGTGCATTGTCACGACCACACAAAGACAGGTGTGAAGTGAGAGCAATTCCGCGTTTAGTCCGACGAGTGTTCCTACCGTAACACTAATTATAGTCTCTTTCCCTTTCCACATTTTTAAAGAGCCGCATAGGACAGGTGCAGGACATCCAGGACATCCTCATTATGTGCGTCTCCTTCTTCGTCAATTAAGAGAAGGCAACGCATCTACAATTGTTGATGTCTATGGGCAACGATCGCTTCACCATTTTAGCGGATTTATTTTCGGCGGCAATATTCCGATTCAGGCCGCTTGCTAGTTTGCCAACTTATAAAAAAAAGAAATAAGCATAGATTACTTAAATACTGCGCTCGGTCACCTATATATTTTCTACATAAAAAAGAAAGGAGAAATATCAACAAGGGAGCAGATCCTTTTCTATGACACATCTATCTATATGATTGACTAGCTTTTGCCCGCGACTCCGTCCGCGATTGTTGATTTCGGGTAAATATACGTTGAATGAAAACGGTTAGTGGTGCAGTAACATTTATTTCGAATATTAGTGTAGATTATAAAATGTTTTAAGGAAATTGCCAGAGCAGATGAAAGTCAAATCTACAGTGAATAAAGAAAAGAAGAATAAAGTATTTTATAACCAATAAATACAAAAGAAAGGCTTGGTTGACCGATGGTTGTCGTTTACGTTAAGCTTTAATTTGCACAAGTCGATGATTATACCTTGTTTTAAAATGTAGAATGGGACGTTTTCTTTACTTTTGAAGTAAGCTTCTATAATTCAGAGCCATTCAAACAAATTGGACTTCAACTTGATTACAAATGCATGTATGCCATTTGCGTACTGTTATTTTTACCAAGTACCATCTGCGGTTATCACTATCTACTTTTAATAATAATAAGTAATTTGAATAATACATCGAAAATAAAATGCTTAAAAAACGTGAATTGATCAGTTAAGAATACACTGGGACTAAACTACTTATACTTTTATTAGATGTAAATAAGAGGCCTGCTATACGAACGCGAGTCACCTTCTTCAATAAAAAATTACGTAGCCTCGCCTCAATTCAAAATACATTTCAGTTAAGCGTGCGCACACTTAACTAAACTATTGTATAACTGTTTAGTCTCGCTTTGATTTGATTTCTATGAGGTTATATAGCTATAGCCAGCGAATTTAGTTGTGCTTCTAAACAGTTGAATTAGCTGCAAAATAATCTACTATCGACAATCGCACAACTGTTGTGCGTGTTAAAGGTGTGCGCCCGCTCTACGAACTCAAATGATGACGCATTACTATAATTTAGGCTATAGTTTTTTAATAGGTCTGGTCTCTGTTGTTTAGGCAACTCATTTGGAAATGCGGATGTCTATTGAAAGGGTTCGCTTCGATGTTTTATCGTATACTATAAAAAAATTGTTCAGTTTTAGTTAGATTTTTATTCTTGCCCCTTTGAGAAAAGCTTTTCACTTTTCAAACTATCAACGTTTTTAACGCTTGTTCTACCTAATTGATTACAGTTTTTGGAAATAAGTAGTGTAGGCTGCAGTGCTACTTTGGGACGCTAATTTTTTAACTTTAACATGTTTAAATAATTTTTAATGATTTTTCGATGGCAATTAACAAACAAGCTTTCTCTGAGTATTATGAGTGCAAAGCAAATTCTATACTACAATTGTAATATTATAAGTGCAAAGTTACAGCTCAAAAGATAAATAATTGAAAAAACTTTTATTAACTTTACATAAACAGTTTACGAAGAATAGCTCCTAATTAGCCAAGGCAAAATAAAAGGTTTAACAAAGAAACCATTGAAAGTTTCTAACTTACCGAGAAAGAACTTTAATGTTGAAACAGGGACTATTGTAAGTGAAAACTCTAACTTTTTTTATTTCAATGATACACAGAATTTGTTGAGCTTCATTGGTTACTTAACCTATTGTTACTTTAAAGGAATTGAGTTAAAATAATCATGGAAAATAATATACGCAGATTGATACGGTATTAACATTAAAACGTGTCTTAATCTTAGAAACCACTATTATTTTAATAACAATACTAAAACAATAATAATAAATCGAGAGGCAATTGAAATAGAAAGTAACTAGAACCCGCTTTAACATCTTCACACGAAAGGACGGGTTTGCTCAGTGGATTACCACGATCATACAAAAGACTGGTGTCAAGTGGCGGTAATTCCGTATACACTCTGACGAGATAGTTTAGGTTTCTTCCGATTTCCACACTTTTGATACAAGGAAGTTAATTTCGCGTAGAATGCGACGCATATTCAGAGGATTTTTTTTTTGTGTTTTGTCCTCTGTTGAAAAACGCATCTGCAAATACGGATGTCAACGGGCAGTAGTCTCTTCGCTATTTTGGCCAATTTCGATTTTTGCTCTTGTCATCTTATAATATACTGAACGAACTGACAAAAACGAGTGACAGTGTGCATAAATATAGTGTGATAGACACTCTTTAATTTGAATATCGAACTTGATCCAAAAAGGTTTCATATATATGCACTTCTAAGAACTTTTTGATTCACCCTCGTAAATAGTAACAACTTTGTACTTTATTTTAAAGCAGACATTAATTAGGTACATCGTTTGTAATATCTTATGTTTGGAAATATCAATTAATAACTTTAAGAGTACCTGAATAATTCAAAACACAACTGCGGGGGAATTAAACTTTACTGAATACCGCGATTAGTACCATTCAAAATCAAATTAGTCGCATGTTGTAAATAACACATCCTAGACGTCTGAATTACATCTAATTATTTATTAGTTTTCGGAGCAGACGTGTCTTTTGTTCAGAATGCATCACCTATGCATCTCACGTGACCAAAATAAACTGTATTTATTTTTAATTGTTCATATTGTTGGTTAATGTAAATAGTATTCTAAAGCCTGCTCTAGAACCACAATTATAGCTAATAGTTTTAACTGAAAAGTTCAACTATTCCGTTAAAAATGTGCGTCTGAAGGCAAAATGTTAACCGTCAGTTCACTGTACAATAAAACTTTTCCATAGACATACAAAGCTTTTAACTGAACAGTTACAACTGAGCTGTGTGTATGTTGGGGGTTTAATTCCTCGACTTCTATACAATGTACTTGACAGTTGCGGAAAATAACGGATATTGAATTTTGTCTGTTCACGAGTTGGATTTAAAATTCGTTCAGATAGTACGAGAAATATCGTCTGCCAACAACTGTCGGGGCAAAGCGTGCGGTAGCGAGGGGTAACAGATTTCAATGCGCCAACGGCTAAACGGTTTCCGTACGAAAAGAGAGAAAAATTGTAAGTTCCACTATTTTTCCCTCACATTTCTACCGACTGCAAAAGAAAAGACGAAATAAGAATAAACATAAAACGGATGGCAAAACTTTGATCACTATGATTATTTTTAAGAAAATTAAAATTTTACCACCACAAATTAGTATTAAGATATCATGTAGCCATCGGAATCTATTTTAACCTATTTCTTTTCCATTTTAGTTCAAGATTCATCTCACCGGAGTCACACCTCCAGGCTCAAAGCATTTTGGGCTCGAAAATTTGGATTGAGCAATACCATACCAAGAATATTAAAAAATGCAAATGCATCTGAGAACAAGAATAAGAACGGAAAGAAGAAGCACATAACTTTCGTCGAGCCTCACCGGCTACCTAGAGTAGGCTCATGGGAATCTCCTGTGCGGTCACCAATAAACATCAGCAGGGGCACACAAACTCCTACACAATCGCCTCTGAGGACCAAACGAGAACCTTCTAGGGAACCTTCCAGGGAATCTTCTAGGGAACCTTCTCCCGAACCGGGACCTTCGCATCGGTATCCCGAACCAATAAAGATCCGCTTAGATAAAACCAAATTTCGGAGATACATTTCGGCCGACCGTTTAACATCTGATGCTGCTACATGCACGACCATCGCTGACAGGATAGCTAGCCAGATCGCGAAGAACCCCCAAAAGCATCTTCTTTTGGCAAGGCTTGCCTTAGCGGTTCCCATAAATTCTAAAACAGGCTTACCATACGTACGCCCACGAAGTAAATCTCTTGAGGCGTACAAAAACCACCCTAGCTATTCGTCTCCACCCTCCCCGGCTCCTTTCGGACCAGGAGAGAGTCGTCACCCATCAGTGACATACGTTTTTAGGGAGACGTATGAATTTGAAGATTTGTCTTCAGCGAGTGACGACGACAGTACCATAGATCTTGTATCTAAGTTCAGAAATCTTTTTACGAATCAGAAAGATTTTGATAATTTCCGCAACAGACTGTGCACGTCAGAGCCGTACAACATAAATTCGCTGACAGACTATTCGTATTACCAACAAGCATTCAACAGCAACACTATTAGAACAGGACATACAATGAATCCTCTTGAAGATCACGAACGAAAAGTTATCATAGAGTTTTGTCACCTGTTGGAGAAATCGAAGCAGCTCTTCAATGGCCTAAGGTAAGTTTTGCAAAACATTAAGATAACATTAACATTATTTTTCGTCATCTCCTTTATTTCTAAATAGCTGAATAAAAAATAACTAGTACTTATACACATTTACATTTTCATAACAGGGAACTCCCACAATATGGTCATAAGCAATGGCATTCATATTTTGGGCGGACATTCGACGTTTACACAAAGCTATGGAAATTCCAACAACAGCACCGTCTAGTTCTCGACAACAAGTACGGCCTCAAGCGATGGCAGATCGGAGAAATTGCCTCAAAAATCGGGCAACTGTACTATCACTTTTAGTAAGTAACTTTTAGTTTTAACAAAGTTCTAATAGTATTTAAAATAGAATTGTCATAATCTATCGATTTAAAAAAATCTTTTGTCAATGCAGTCTACGCACAAGCGAAACTGGATACTTGAGCGAAGCATTTTCATTCTATTCCGCAATACGAGGCCGCAGTTACTACACGCAGGCGAGCAAATCAGATAAATGCGAACTGATGGTCAAGAAGCTCCGGTACTACGCAAGATTCATTGTTGTTTGCCTTCTCCTCAAGAAACTTGCTCTCGTACGAGAACTGATAAAAGAACTTGATAAACAAATCATAGAGTACGGAGCAACATACGATCCTGACGACCAGATAGAGTGGACTGTCGTAATGGATGAAGTCAAGGCTTTTATAGTCGCAGAAGCTGCGGTGACCGTTCTGCATCCGGACAACTATCCCATCGTGCTCTCTCATAGGTAACTTACAAAATTTCTTCATTATGTCTTTTTTAGTTTATTCTCAATAAATATGAGATAACATGATGAATTAAATGAAAGTTATGAATTATAGTGATGAATATAAAGAGTGGTATACCTGAGATTGTTTACATAAATATATATAGTACTTATTATTTAAAGAATTAGATAAATGTTCTGCTTTACATTTTCCTAGACTCAATATCATGAGCGTCCCGCCTCCGGAGCGGCCATCAGTTGCCACTCTAAAACTTCAAGAAGCCGTCATTGTGGGCAGCGTGTCGCAGCAAGTTAAATTCTCCGAATTAACAATGGATATGTACCGAATCTTGCAAACCCTAGAATGGGAACCCACTGGCGAAATGCCTCAAGTGTACAACGAATCGCCGCGTTATCGCTACGCTTCAGCACCACTAATTAATAAAGGTGGTAATTTAAATGCAACGGTAAAGTTAATTTTAAAGAGATTAAAAAATATATAGGAAGCATAGTTACCACTTCACTTGAGATGTTTTTTTCCATTATCCTAATTAGCTATCTATTGATAGGTTCTCAAAACCATATGACAATATAATAAATTGTATTGAAATGGTCTCAATCATATTAAAATGTTTATATTTTATTTTGTAATACTGTTTAGTTTATTTTGTAACAAAAATCAGTGCTTTTTATAATTTTGTAAAGTATTTCATAACATCTCAATGCAAGGACTTGAGGTGGCGTACTAAACTTGACAACATAGAAGTTACCGGTGAAAAAATGTTTCATGTGTCTAATCTATATATTTCTTAAATGTCTTTGGTTAACCTCAAAGTCGACTACATTTTTAATAGTCTGTTTTCGCTGAAACTTAATTATTAATTGGTATTACTCTTTTTAATTTAATTACAATCTATTAATCTCTTTAATGATTGTAACTACATTTAAGTCGGAAATAAAACACGTGAGTTAAGGTGAAAACAAACTTTTCTGTTAAATTATTTTTTATTTGAATGTGACGTCACTCGTAAAGCTTGTCCTTAGATTTAATTTTCATGTACCCGTTGATTCTATATCTAATAGCAAAGCGATGTCACTTCTGTAAGTTACTGCTGTGCATCTGATGTTGCGTAGGTCTGAAGATATTGTCTAGTTATATTAAAACAATTTCCTTTAACAACGTATTATATTTCTTTAGATGTAGTGTCGCCCTTGTTCTTTTGTACTCTACAAGAGTTTATCTAATATTCATTTAATTGTCGTAGGTTATAACCACGACGGCATTATACGAAACGAGAACCCCCACAAGTATCTATTGTTCAAGCCATCAGCAGCGCAGGTGTTGGTGTACTTAGCGAGCGGCTGCTACGACCTGCCTAACAACGGAGCGCTATTGCTCTACATTTCCGCAGACGCCCTCATTGTGCCAGCTTCGAAGATAACTGAAGACAGTAAGAATGCATTCCTTATCTGGTTTATCTTAACTAAACAACTTTAGGACTTTGAAATTATATCTTTATCTGTATTTGTAATAAATCTCACTTAATTATAAATGTGAAAGTTTGGATGGTTGAATGGATGTTTAGTAGAGTTTCTAGCCTCAACTGCTAAACGGGTCTCGATGGAATTTGGCACAAGTGTAGAATATATATATTCTGGAAGAACAAACAGCGTACATACCATGATTTATTATTAAATAAAAGCTAGTATAACACATTAATTAAAAAAACAGTGTTAAATGTAACTACTAACCTCTGGACCAATAGAAATTATAAGTTTTTAATTAGTTAATATTATTTTCGAAAGTAACCACCGAAAATACCGAAAGACACTAACAGATGCCAACTCCATCATTGCTCTAAACGTATTAATAATCCTTTTATCTTTAACTAACTTGTTATTTATATTTTATAAAGTAGGAAAAACTAATTCAAAACTTGCCTTAAGGAAGTTTTCCGAACATTAACTCGAGCTGAAAAGAAAAGGAAACGCAAACAAATCGCGTACGCGAGTTCACATTCCTTTGAGCGACTGTTTCTCAAATTGAGCTGACGTTTAGATGTCTGTGTTTATTTATCTCAACGGTTTTTACTGCAACGCGAAATATTGCAACGCGGTTTCGGTGCAAACAAAAAAATTGCTTTTTGATCTTCAGCTAGCTCAAATCTTACATTAATGCAACTTTTTTACATGTTATATCTGCGGTTGCTTATAGACTGACAGAATAAATTCATATGTGCAGCTGTGCGATTTAATATTATAATTCATTGAAAAGTCTCTTTATACAGGACATTGTGGTCGAGCATTTATAACATAATGAATGCAACCTTATGTTTTATTTTTATGTGCGGCGTTCACTCACTCCACACACACACACTACTTATTTGATAAAAAAAAGTATTCATACAATTCTAAAAGACTCCAGTCACTTGTTAAGTAAAACTGGTCTGTTAATTTAATCATCACTCTTTCTTAAATTTTTATACATGGGTGAATATATCAAAACAGTGATTGTTTTTGCAGCTGGATACGACGTCGGTGGTCTTATGACCAATGTCAAGAGCGACTTGCATCGCGAACGAGAAAGAGAACGGGATAGAGAGAGAGCACGAGAAAGAGGTCGTGATCGGGAGCGGGAAAGGGACCGAGACCGAGAGAGGGACCGGGAGCGTGATAGAGATAGGGTTTGGGAACGTGAGAGAGATCGTGAGCGGGAGCTTGATTGCGATCGCGAACGTGACCGGGAGCGTAACCGGGAGCGTAACCGAGAGCGAGAGCGTGACCGTGAGCGAGACCAAGATCGGGAGCAAGACGGGGAGAGAGGCGAGCGTGACCGCGAAGATGCATCTCGTGAACCAAGACCGACACAATCTCGGTCCAAAGACCCGCAATGCATTCACCCCGGGGACTTATACCCTTTCACCCGGTGCCCTCTATTCATCATCGTCGACTCGGATAACTCGTACATTTTTCAAAACATACCGCGGCACTTCGCGCAGCCGCTCATCGTGCTCATGTCACCGTTGGAAGTTCCAAATACGTTTCCACGTAAGTATTTACTTGACATTTATAGAAAACTAGCTGTTACCGGGCGGCTTCATCAGCATGAAATTATGAAAATTTTATTTTATTGTTTACATTTGACAAATTATCAATAGCAAAAGTCAAAATGACATGACATGCCAAACCTTAGCAATCTTTCTTTCTTGATGTTGGCAGCAACTTATGATCTCTTTCCCACATTAGGGTTTTTATCCAAAATATTTACCCCCTAAGTTTAATGTCGTGAAAATATATAGCCTAAAGCGTGACGTAAGTGTAGGGCTTTTTATTAAAAAAAGAATTATTCAAAAAATGCTGTGATTGCTGACATCTTAGGCAACAAAGAAGTGTGTGTTTACGCTTTATAATAATAGTATAGATACACATTGTTTGAAACTAAGGAATCGCCAGTAGGATCGACTAATTTTTGAAAATAAAAGAAACCTAAAATGTAGCGAGATATTAAAACGGTATAAAAGGTTTTTTTTTTTGATAGCGGATTACAGGAAGGAGGGTAGTTTGTTCACACTGTTCCTGCACTCGCCGTTATCAGCATTCTGCTACTGCTGCGACATTAAGACAGTGCCGCTGGTGCAGTGGGAACGCTCGCAGACCTACATCGAAGCCTTCAACATAGAAGCCGCGCAAGTCATGTTGAGACATCGCATTGGTAAGTATAAGGATCTCCAACAACTTTTATTTAAAATATGTCCATTAGACGCCTGTTAACCAAAAAATGTATACATTTGAATCTTAATTTTCAGACACAGCATTTATATCGTTCATGTCGGACGACTTCTTGCGTCTACTGCTACTTCGCTTCATGTTCTGCGCCGTGGCTCTACGCATGCACCGCGGCTTCCGCTCCAGGAACCAATTGCCCCGCTCTTCGCCCCCTCTGCCCGATGACTTACTGGAGCACCCGACACTCGTGCACATCGTCATGGATCTAGCTGTTCACCTGCAGGTAACTTGCATTTTATTTATCTGTGCAAATATTGAAATAATTGTATTTTTAATTTTATCAATAGCTGCTGATCCTTGCCGTCTAACAATACTTTTAGAAACAACATTAAAAAATATTCTTAGGTCGGTATTGTTTTCAAGAAATTATTAAGAATTTAGGTTTAAAAAATGGATGAAACATTTTGTAGCAATTTTTTAAAATACTATGTATATTTGTTTCTAATTAAGGTAGTTTTAGTTATTTGTTTTTTATGTGTTTTTTGATCTTATTTATTAAGACAATGATAAAAAAAGTCTCTAATCTTTAATTTCAGGTTAGAAGCCACTTCCACGATTCATCTGGTCCTCCAACCAGCAACTAAAATGAAAAAAAAAAACTTCTGAAAATCATTCCTTTAATATTAATAGGTGTGTAGTTCATTTTGCTGTTTGCATGTTATTTAAGAATTTAATAGGTAATGTGTCTGTTGTGAAAGACATGTCACAGGCAAATGGTATACGAGTAAGTAATTACGTTGTTTACAAACGGCGTACATATGTAAAGTTTCAAGTTTTCTGGGGACATAATTACCATGAGCGTCGATGAACACCTTTGTGTTTCCGCTGCTATTTTGCCCCTTTCTATTGTGAACAAACAAATTTACAAACTCATAATAGATGCATAAAAGAATATATATGATCAAGGTTTCACTATAATGAGAATCTTAAACATTAATTTTCACCTACCACAAGTACAAGACGGGGCAATAAACGTAGCGCGAACTTACATTCCACAACTGCGCTCATCCTTATTGTTATAACAAATGTCTCAAAAAATACAGACGAATAAAGATCTTTCTTCTTTTGGGAGGTCGGTTTAAAATTAATGTTTTTATCTTTGATTTCGATAACATGGGTGTTTTCTTTCTTTTTACTCTAGTAACCTTAGCAGAAACGGTTAATTTTTATATTTTAGGTAAAGTCAATTATACTGATTGTTACAAAAAAATTAATTACTTTCTCTTTAATGTATTTATTCCATATACTCGTAGTACATCAAGAGTATAATTATTACTTGATAATAGTTTGTAAATGGCGAAATTATATCATTTGCCTGCGACAGAAAACTTTATGTTTCAATTGTTATACCACAGCCGAAATGCGATCACTGAAAACCAGGGGAGGGGATAGGTAGGAAAAGATACTATTCTTATTCTCGTACAACCTCTCGTATGTCCATTATAGGTAGGAAACACATCTGCGACTGTTTAGCTTGTTGCAGATATTTATAGGCTATGGTCAATTCGCTCCTTTAGCGACATCAAGTGGCCTCTGATTCTTTGTCACCTTTTGTTAAAAAAAAGTTAAACGCAACACTTATTGACTCATTAATGTTGCCTAATAAATGTTGACCACTTGTAAACAAATGTTGTCTGTTTATATATATATATATATGAAAAACATGACATTGATCCTATATATATATATATACGATCAATGTCATGTTTTTGTTCTTAGAAGTTTATATTTAAGTACTAGTGTATTTGAGTTTTGTGAGTGGAAGAGAATGGTGTTGATAAAAAAAAAAACTTTGGTAATGTATGGCTTTCATAGGTTTAAATTAGTAGTTCAAGTCCTATTAACTTAGGTTTAGTAAATTTGGGCACTGACCGACGTTACGCAGTGTAATGTTAGATGACTTGCATTCATGTGGTTAGGACGTATTGTTACGGGGAAACCAGAGAGCAACAAGCCTCTCCTTGCGAATCACGTAACTTTGCACAACGTACCGTCGGTTAATATCCAGGTTAAAAATTAGAATTAGAAAAATTCCTAGATATCCACCTAAATTTGTGTTCATTACCATTTCGTTTAAAATGTATCGTCTTGTTTTAAATCCTAACTTCCTTACAAGTAAGTAACTAGTCCAGTTATTCGGTAGATTTATTTGGAAACTTTTTCGTATATTAAATTGTTTATCATACATATTTCCATGAGTTATACCCGTTCTTCAACTTAACTATATATCGTATCCGCTCTCACCGCCTTTTTGAAAAAAAAAATTCAACACCAATTTCAACAGTGGTAGAGCCCGCTTTAACATCTTCGCACGAATGGGCCGGCTCCCCCGGTGTAATACCACGACCACACAGAAGACAGCCGTCAAGTGGGAGCCCCGCGTTTCGTCTGATGAGTGTGGTGCCGGAGGCCCAGTTTTAGTCCCTCTTTCTTGTTTCTTTTGTACCAAATAACTGGACTGTTAAAATATAATATTTAAGTATTATTCGCATAAAAGAGAGAGAGTAGGTTTAAATTAATTATAAATCATGAAGTCATTACAGCTTGTAGGTAATCATTGCAATTAGGAAATTTAGTCTTCGCCTCTCATAAGAAAAAAATATAAAAACAACAAAAAAATTAGTGTAGATTAAATTTATCTTAAGCATATTTTAAATTTCTGAAGCCGGCTACGCACCTTCAGTTTTAACTGTACAGTTAAAGCATACGTGAATAGGTAAATTATCAACTGTCAGTGTAACTGTGCAGTTATCATTTTAGTTTACACACCTTTTATTTTTAACTGTTCAGTTGAACTGTACAGTTTCAGTTTAAAGGTGTGTAGGAAACTGAGCACTGTGCGGTTTAACTGACAGTTTTAATATTACCTACATACGTACGATTTAACAAAACAGTCTCACTGTTTACTTTTAAAATTGAAGGTTAAAGTTGACAGTATACGCGTGAGTTTTCACTGTCGATATGTTCAAAAACATATTGTTATACCACTCTGCCACTCTGAACAAACGGCGAAGACGAGATTATTACAATAATGTTTTTGTACACACTTTTCGGCAGTAAAAGCTAACAGTTTCAGTATAGAGCAGTGTTACCATTTCGACCAACAGAGTTAAGGTTATCGGTCCTCTATCAACATGGTAATAACTTGACCACAAATGACTTTTATACATGGTCGCCTTGGCTAATTAAAATTTAGCATCTACGTCAAATCTTACTACACGACGGGTTATTTCCTAGTTGACAAATGAGCTGTAACCTTTAAACTGTCGATCTAAACAAAGTAACATTAAAGACATCGTTAGAAGAAAAGTACAAAATTTATAGAACTGAGTACCTATTGGTAGTCTTTTCTTATTCCGTTTAAATTAATAAAAACTTTAATTTGTATGAAATGATTGCCTTATACCATCTAGGCCCTGTCGAATAATGGTTTATACTAACGCCATCTAGTTTCTTAACGGTGAGGGAATAAATTACAACTAGGAACTCTGAGCATGTGACACATCGAGATCTTATGTCAATTCGAAACATTTTGAACTTATCTTTTAAAGATATCGTTAATGGGACGTTCCCAGTATTTTCTATTTCTAGTACTGTTACTAATTACTGCATCATCTAGTCCACAGTTTTAATAATTTTGTTTTTCCCCCAGCACTATCCATTCACTTTATTGTGTAAATTTGTTTTTGTAGAAACACGAATTCCGGTCAATCCTAAGATTAACAGCTAAAGTCAAAGGTTTACTTTTTTAAGCATTTACCAACATTCACTTGATAAATCACAAGATTTGCGTACTTCAATGTTGGTAAATTTCGATAAACAGTCGACTGACATATTTTAATAAGGTAATTTAATGTTTTATTAAAATATCTTCTTAAAAAATTAACTGTTTATCGAAATTATTGATTTTTTTTTTTACGAAAAATCTTTTAATTCACCAATTGAATGGTAAACGCTTGAAACGACCAAGAAAATCATATTATATTTCGGACTTTAAAACTTTGCTTTTAACGGTAAATCTTGGGCCTTACCGGGATTCGTGCTGAGCCTGCGCTCATAGAATTAAGGTAAGGCCGACAAAACCAACATACGACTAAGATTAGATTAAATAGATATAAAATGTTATCTATTTTTAAGTATATTTAAAGCCCTGCAAAACGCACAAATGGAATAGATTTTATAACTGTTAATCTCCACTGCATAAATATTTGCATTAAAACATATTGTGTTCTTTGTATTTGCAAAGATGACAAAATGTTTTTATACAATTATTTAGATAGTGGAAACCCATAGTTACTTGTAAATATTACCTATAATTAACATAATTTTAGCATTTTAATAATATATTAATTAACGTCATCTAATATACCCGTCTAGATTTGACATAATAGATTTAGGTACAATTTAGTCTTGTAATGTAGTCTTTTTTTTTTGTTTATATATATTCTTCATATAATAACTTAGTTTTTACTTTCTCCCGTGCTGTTCTGGAATTTAAACCAAATGCAGATCTTGTCAAGGTTCCCGTGCAAATGGTTAAATGGAGAGTTTGCTTTCGGGTTGAATACGGGTCCGGTGTAAGGTAATGGTGAGGTCGCTGCATTTAACGTGTTGCTCGATAGGAACGGCAAATATTGCATTGTTTTAAAGTTCCAGAACAGCACGGGATCTTGTACATAGTGTAAATAGTAGGTTAGTTTGGAGAGACATTGATGGTTGAACGATCCGAGTGTAAGGTGAACTCCGGGCCTGTACGATGGTTAGTTTGTAAGTTTATGTGATATTAGTTATTAAGGGCGGCAGCGACGCGTAAATGCGCACAGTAAGTTAAGTAAATATCTATTTTTTTACTTTTGATACTTTAAAAAGTTTGCCTTAATATTAGAAAATGCTGCATAGGTAATAGGTTAACATCCTTCAATGGCCCTATGACAGACCGGACCAATGTTAAGCTAATAGGAGAGTCGGAGTTTTATTGGCCATCGGTGAGTAGGACGCTCTTTCAGTGGACCTACATGGCAGGGGGCCAGGGGAGGTTGTTAAACAAGTATGAGAGATGATTACTTGAGTATATGAAACGATGTATGGTTGTGTGATGAATGAATGGGAATATACATTATATATTCTCATTTAAATATTATGTCATATCTTTGTTATAACTGTTGTTTACAAGTGATAACGATTGTAGGCCTACATTAATAGCAATAACTGTTTGCTACTAAATATTTTTCTAGTAAAAGGTGACATACGAGCAAGTTGTCATCTGAATTCGCTAAAGTAGCGAATTGCCATCCTCCCGTAGATATAAGAAACAAGTTAAATGGTTAATCCGTTGCTTACTTTTAATGGACAGAGAAGAGGCCGTATAGAAACAGGATGTTTTACATTCTATACGTCCCCTTCCCCGGCAAATCCAATGTTATTTTCAGTTATATTCACTGTTGTAGTTAAATAATACTGAAGGCGCTTGTAAAACATTAAAAACTATATTACAATAAATGTGATTTTTAAACTGGCACAGCTTTGCGCAAAATTAATATTTGGCGAATGTATTCAAATACTGTATTCTACAATCGTTTTTATTATTGACTTATATTATACTGTGTATGTAGCTATAAAGAAAAAAAATATTTATAAACATATAAAGGTTAACACGTAGATCAACAAATATACCTAATAGTCATTACAGTTTATAAAGCAGTTCAAGTTTTCAGATATTTATCAATATTTCAATATGAATATAGCTTGTTGTAACAAAAAAAAACAAAAACCCAAAAAAAGCTCTTTCAATCCTTAAAATTTATGCATTTTAAACTTCATAACTATATATAGGTTCTTTATAAATTAAATATTCTGTATTCATGTAAGTTCTTCTGGAAATATAATCATTCCGTGGGCGTCATTCGGGCCGGTCTGCGTCATTTAGAACACTCGTGAATGACTATCGTAAACTCACCGCCATTCTCATCTCCATCAATTTAATGCCGGTCCGACTAAAATTAACAACAAAAATGGTAGTAACTACTCTTAATGATACGAACGATATAAATGATGTCGAAGCCCGTGGTTCCATGTCATCTTTGTCAAATTCGTTTCACAAGTCATTCATTTTCATTCATTAGAAAATAGTGATGTGAAAGAATCAAAATTTAATCTTAAAATTAATAAAACCCGGAAAACCTTTCATTTGTTTACCACTCAAAAAAAATTAATCAAATTAATATAATGTAAATGATTTTTTGTTATTTCCTATTTATAAGTAATTTACGATAATTTTAAATGTTCTTTGTTAAGTTTGATTATTTGTTATATTAATGTTACGTATTTTCTTTAATTTTTAATCAGTACCTCAAGTACATACATTAATAATAGTAGTACAGACAAATTAAATATATAAATGTTAGTTCAAACTCTTACAACGAGAAATATATTATATTATATTCATAAAATAATTGTTCACTTTGCACTGTGGCTTTAAGTCAATGGTTAAACAAATTAATCAGATATTTTATTAAAATAATACTTTATTCATAATTCGACAATACAATTAAATGTACCTTATGTAAAGAGAAATATATTTATATAAAAGCTTTAAAGTACATATATATGAAATATATTTTGGTAAAGATGTCCGTTATTCCACAGAATGTCATCGATATACTTTGTGTGGGTGTTTGTAAAGTTATGGAATTAAATTCACATGTTTATAGAGTGTTAATGAAACCCGTATTTGTGCGTATTATCATATTTATTAGCTATTTAACGAATTTCAGAACGTATGAAGGTTTTTAAGAAAAGTTAAATTATCCTCTAGTACAAAAATAATGATCATAACGGTTAATATTAGAAGCCTCCTTTTTAAAATTGACGACCTTATTTATTTCATGTTTAAATAATAATTGAAGAAATTATTCACACTTTTATTATTCATGTGAATTTAAATCTAATATTGGGTTAAGACGTGATCTCAATTGTTTTTTCTTTCTAGACATTTTTTTAACTAGTTAAATTTTGACACCTTGCAACCAGGATGACTTTATTTTTTGTATGTTCTAAAAAAAATTATATTTATAACTTGTTTAACAATGTCACTGTTAATTTGATCGATAGTTTATTATATAGAATATGTATACGTTAAGAAATTTGATATTATAAAGTACTTTGTTGTTTCTAACGTTAAAATACTCAATATTAATATTAGTTAATTTCATCACGTTAGTTTATTAACACAATTATATAACATCTATCAAATGCATTAAATCCATTTTCACCACCATAATAATGTGTTTTTCTTAACCCTAATACTATAATCTAACTAACAGTGTACCTTAATTTATTAATTAAACCAGTGGTTTACTAGTACGTCATGTTTTATATGACGTTAGGCCACGCATTTATGCGCCAGTACTGAAGATCCGAGGACTCTGAAGTCGAAATTGAGGCCAACGAGGGTATTCAAATGATTCAAGTCTCACTAAACTTTGTCTTTCTCCCACAAGGCAGGGTATCTTTATAGAACCGCCCCACACACACCAAATAAAATAATTAAACATACAAGGGAATAAGAATAAGCATTTATCGTAAAATCTTTATTACCGAAATTACAGGAAACATTCCCAAAAGGATCAAAATTATGAAATAGTTGTTGGTAGTACAACCATAGTTGTAACACAAAAAACAAATAAACCGCGTAAAGCATTACGTATTAATTCAAGTCTAGTTCACAGTCGTCTGGTGCAAATTTAACAGTCACGATGTGAAGCCGCGACGTGAACGAGTCGAACACACTTAAATCTTTGGACGTATCTCAACAACTGGTAAGAATTCAAATAATACAAAATATTGAACATTAAGAGAAGTCGTTTAATTGTTTGATTATACAACTAATTTAATTCCAGATTTACATACATATTTTTTTCTTTCTTGTAATATTACACATTCATGAAAACAGAACCAGTATTTTCACTGATGACGCGAAATGCTAACCGAAAATACATTCATGCTCGTTCTTAATTTAGCACGGTAGCCCCGACTGCGAACAAGCGGCCAGTTGAACGGAGATTTTGTACCGATCACTAATCGTTTACTCATCTTTCATACATTGTTGAGTGCGTTATCTACCTATAAACAATAATTATCGCAAAGGTTCAGTTATGCCTGCTCACTATGCAGCCTGAGTGTCTCAAGGTAATTCTCCGCTACTAGGCCAAAATAATTCGTTGGCCAGTGAGGATAATATACAACTTATTCACACCTATTTTCACACTGGCCCACGCAAACCTAACGTGTTTTCAGTAGACGAAACTAGCTTTGTGACGATATGTTGTGTTCTTCGTTGGGCGGTGACATTTTTGCTGGGTTCGTGTGAAAACAGGAGAACGCAGTTTTATATTTCTAAACCGGGCAATGGACGTCAGCTGATCGTGTATTTAAATGTGTACCTGTTTACTAAGTTTTGTTTTTAACTAAACATATGGAATCTGAATTTTCAACAGATAAACTTTGCGATTTACCACCAGTGCCGCCAAAAACATATCAATGGGAAGACTTACGAAAAGCGCGTGAGGCTGGGGCTTATCCTTGGACCCATTTACTCAAACCGCCGTTAGAAGGAGAAATAACAGCGGAAGATATAATAAGGGAGACAACGCCTAGGAGAAGCATGTCTCGTGAATTTTCAAAATCCCGAACACATTCACCGAGTGATGGGGAACCACAAAAGATATTAAATCTTAACTCTTCACCAGGGAGTAGCAGAAAACACAGTGAAGAAGGTGCAATCGCCGGCGTACAAATACCAAATTTTTCTAAAGAAATATCTTTAGATTCAGAAGATGATATATTAAATCAAGCTATAGTTAGTGGCACAAAACGACCGGAGAGTCAAATAAGCACACATTTAGTGACACCAGTTGAAATACCAAAAAGTGTATCCCCAAAGGGTATTTTAAAACGCAGAGCTCAAGAGCAGCAATACAACATTGGCGTTTCAGAAACACGCGAAAAAACAAAATGCTGCCATCCATTAGTCAACAAAATAAAACATTTAGCGGATAAAACATTGCATAAACTGGAAAGAACAGAATGTGAAAAGTCTCCTTTAACCAAAAGGAAGAAAAATGAAAATATCCAGGAAATACGACAGTTGAAATCTTCGCCCGGAGCTGTTCGCAGACAAAAGTTTAGTGCAATCAAATTAGGGGATTCTGATGAAATGAGTAAAACAATGAGTATTGACACGCCTCCACCAAGAAAAAAAAAGGATCACATTTACGAGGACATAGAAGAATCCAAATATAATGACAATGAATCGCTTAATTCTAATAGAGCGATCAATTATAACAGCAATGACAAAGAAAACCATCTAGACATTGATAATCTCGTAGAAACAAAATCAGTAGCTTCTCACGATCCCAGTTTGGTTATAGAAGAAAACCATAGTTCAAGTGTAAACATAATGGAACAATTGCATAAAAAAGATAAAACAAAACAAAGGAATGAAGACTTAGATGATATGGATACCGAAGAACCAAGTGTTGATGACATATTTCACGAACAACTTGAGGGCAATAGACCAGCCAATGAATCTCCAAACATAACTATTACGGAAATCACAGAGGATAACCCCGATAATAATATTGAACAATCCAACACCATACCCATCGAATCATCACCCAGTCCAAGTCCTCGTGAATTTCAAGAAAAACGAAGTGATGTAGAAATTATTGATAACGAATGGTCTAAACCCAGCAGGTAATTTAAAAAAATAGCTTTTTATTTTTATCCTTACTTACTTTAACTATATGTTTTCTTGTGTCATGACATAACATTAGCATTACAACACACGCAAAGCGAGCGCGCTGGCTTGTCTCTGTCTGATAAATATAGCTCTATCCGAATCGTCTTCCTGTACGTTCAGAGAGCTCTTTAAAATTGTCATCAGCGATCAGTGCTCGCGGCTGCTTTCATGCCGGTGATTAGTTCATTTACAGACCGGCTTTCACAAACACGTTAACCTAATGTTTCCATACCTTCGTTAAGTTTATTACGTAAATTTAGTAAAGTATGTCTCGAAATTAGAGTCGTTTCGGTGAACTGTAGTTATGAGTAAGCTCCGACGATGGACATCAGAAGGTGGTACCCCTTTAGAAAAGCCCGTGAATCCGACGCGAGAGGGCAGTGTCCAACTATTTACCCCAGAAGTACGATGTGCATGTCAGTTTTTTCAATGTGATTCACTGTTGCCCGAAAGAGTGAATCCAGTTGGCACTAGACCGACGTCGCGAGCTAGTAATATTATTTCAAATTTGAGGTAAGTTCAACATTCACAGTTATGCAGACGTTTTACGACTAATATTACGATCTGCAAAATAAATTTGAAGTCGTTTCAAACGTCTTGCCCGGCGACTGCTGCGGCTAAAAAGAGCACTGACGGTTGGCCTAATTGTGACGAGAGTTATGCGTTTGTACGTGTGCCATTTTAAATATAAGTTTCAACATATGTGACGAATCTACTGTGCGACTGAACTTTAGTTTTATTGAATGTTATGCGAATTACACTTTTTTTTAAATATGTAACCTACTTTTTATATTTTTGATGATGCGAATTTTATTTTGTATTAATATATTTTATATCTAGATCTGCTCTTAACGTATAGTTTGTATAAATTATGTCTTTGCTATTTTCAGTGATCACGAGTATGAAATAATAGAAAAACCACCTCCGAATATAATCTATACCGCACCGAGCGTCGAGGAGAGACCGAAAATGGTAAAAAATGAAGATGAGCTGTCAAGTACTACTTCATTAGAACGTAAATACTTGCAACACACATCTGACGAAGATGAGCAAATGGAAGAAAAGGAAACCGACCAAAACGGTGACGAAATTCTGACAGCTGAAAGTATGCAAAAAAATATAGAGGAGCGGTTTTTTGTAAATACCCCATCTACAGCTTCAAGGACAGAATGTGAAATAAGCACAAGTCAAGTGGATTCATCTGCTTTGGAGCAGTTACCCTTACAACGAAGTAAACGATCGAAAAACTCTGAAAACGTTGACAAAAAGATTCAACAACGTATTAAAGAGGGAACAGGAAAATTAAAGTCCCAAGCTGGAAAACTAAAGACGAAAATACAAAATATGAAAGCAAAACATGTTACTAGTGCCGAAAAGCCAAAAGTTAGTTCTTCTGAGCGCCCGAAATTCAAAATGCCAGATAGACCAAAAATAAGCTTTCCCGAGAGACCCAAGTTCACGCTACCTGACCGTAGGAAGTTTAGTTTACCAGAAAGGTCAAAGTTCAAAAACTTTAATCTACAAGAAAAGTTCAGCATCGGTGATAGAAAGAAATTTACATTTCCGAATCGACCTAAATTTACTGTTCCTGATCTATCAAAAATAAAAATGCCAGAGCGACCTAAAATTAATTTTCCTAGTTTAGGTAGAAAGAAAGAATATAAGGTTGACACAACTGTTACTGAGTCCAGTTCAGACAACATGCAAAATGTGGCGACGGTTGATTTCGAAGCTAAAACGTATCCAAGATTTTTTAACCGAAAAAAGAAATCTGAATTGGAAAAAACATCTTCCTCACCAACGCTAAATAGAGAAGATACACCTCCACCGACATTCACTTTTACTCGAGTTAAAAAGAACAAGGAAGAGTCTTCTTCATACATTCCTGATAGTCCTGAGCAACCACGGGAGTACGGTAATATTGAAAACGATCACAGTTTTGAAAATGGACAAGAAAGCAGAAAACAATTTGAAACCACTTATGATTTTGACAAATTAAGTCCTGAATATATGGACGAACACATTGAACCATCTCACTTAAAAGAATCACGAAATGCGGCCTCCATTCCTGATATGTCAAACCAAGAATACACACATATTAACGAAATAAATAATGACGAATTTTTTGTACGACCGAGGGGAATTTCTCGCGAAAATATTCAAGTTAGAGAGTATCTTAGTGACGAAATACGACAAGCATTTAACATACCAAAGAACGTCCTTGCAACTATGGACGGCAATACAGAAATAAACGACGAGCATATGTATGCTAACGAAGCTGAAGCTGACCCAGAACTAATGATTGACGAAAACGAACCCATACGATATTCAACTGAAGACTTAAATGATAGAGATGACGGTTATTATACCTTCCCACCAGTTAGGCCGTCTAGAGCGAAACGAAAGAAAAAGGAAACGGAATCTATTAAATATATTGACGATAGTATTAACGCGAGCTTACAGTTCAGCGAGGTAGACTTGGGACTTCCGGAATATCAAACGGAAGAACAGCCAATGGAAATAAATACATCACAAGAAATTGTAGAAAACTCAAATCATTTCCCAGAGTTCACACGGCCAACTGACCTGCGTTCTATTCATGAATATGCAAATGACGATGTTATCGAATATCCAGACAACATACCTGTACATTCGCAAACCCTCCCTATGCCTCCCAAAAGAAAGAAGAAGTTCTTAAAGAAAGATCTTAAACATTCGTCATTAAATGATTTTAAGAGTATAACACCAACTGAGCTGTTTGAAGAACACGATGAACAACCAGACGATGTAAGTATCGTACGCATTTTAATTTAACTTTCTCTAATAGTATTAAAACTGGATTGTCCTAATAAATAGTTACTATAATAATAAATACTTTTTAACACTTAACTAATAAAGAAAAAATACTTTTTTTTTATACTCCGTGTTCTTTTCACATATTAATTATTCAACACGTCCTTTTTCCACATTCGCATTGACAAGAGATATTTGAGATAAATTGTTCAATACTAGCTTTCGCCCACGACTCCGTCCGCGTGGAATTAATAAAAACAAAAGTGTAGCCTATGTGTTCTTCCAGACTATCTTCGACATCAATACCAAATTTCATCCAATCAGCCGTTTAGGCTACAAACTTTAACAAAAATCCATCCATCCATCCATCCGTCTAAACTTTAGCATTTATAATATTAGTAAGAAGTAAGATAAGATTATAAATTTTACGAGTATTAATGGTGTAAATCTGAGGCGATCAATTCTGGCAGGTTTCCAGTGTATTAGTTTACTTTGGAACGGTCCTATGTATTTTCAGATGCGCTGCTCCATTCGATTGTTGACCCAGTTTTAACACGTAAAAGAGCAGTTATAATAAAATGGTTCAAGATACAAATGGATATTTTTACATTTCACAAGGTTGCAGTCAATGTTATCACATGTGACCAAAATAGTCTATTTTATGGAGACTTTGAATATAAACTTAACTGAATATTTAATGTATATGTTTACTGACAAGACTTTTTGTAACGTTTCAGATTATTGTGTACCGCACGGAGCATGAATATGTCGTGCCCACAACAGAGCCGACCGTAACAGGACAGAGCCCTGTAGCGCCACGGCGAAATCGGTCAAGAAGCTCGCGCGGTACATCTCTCTGTGACGACGATCGAACGTCCCATGGAGCAGAATCACTTATACTAGACACACAGTTTCCGCCAGCAGTTGATGTAAATATTCTTAGAGACATAAGACAAGAAAGCCCTGGATATGCAACGGTAGATAAAGGACCCTGTACTCCTAGCAAAGGTATAAGAAGGTCTAAAAGTAAAACTCCACCAGCACGACGTCGCAAGAGTAACAGTTCTGAAAGAAAGTATTATACAGTTGGTCCAAGTAAAGAGCCAATGCCTAACCGTCCACCGAGGAAAAAGTCATCAACCAGCTTAATGACATTAGACAGTTTTACAAAACGGTCAGTTAGTGGCGATATTACTCAGTATGTAGAAATCGAGGAACCTCAATTTGAAGAAATTCACAAGGACTTGATATCTGGGGAAGTGGTAAAAAAAATGAAAGATAGACCGTTACCTCCTCCGCCACGACCACCTCGAGGCCCAAAACGAAAAAAGAGGTTCAGCGATGAATCTTTAGAACATATTGCAAACGATCAAGTTACACCATGTGAGTCTTATCCTCAATTGGCAGAAAGTTCAGTGAAAGCTGACGATGTTGTAGAAATAGAGGTATCAACGCAAACAGATCCACTTCCTGATGACATTGATTATGAATTTTGTTTAGACGAAAATCTTGATATATCAATGTCTAGTTCGTTGAGAGATATTATTGACGAAGATTCTATTATGGGAAGATCTAAGAGAAAAGTGTCAGAAAGTCCTCATATTTCTCGAACAACATCACGTTCTGAAAAGTCGCTCAAATTATCAGATCCCAAAATATTTGAGTTATCAAAATTAAACATTGACAGATCTTCTCCAACTGTAATTTTGGTGGAGAAACGAGTATCTAGTCCAACAAAAATTAACGAACGCGAGGAAATGTTAACTGAAGCCTCCTTAACCGTTCAGCACATTGACGTGGATGAGTCTACTGTTCCTCAAGTACCACCACTACCAAAATCTAAAGGCATTATACCTACTACCGCCGACAAGAAAACTTTTATTCCACCAAGCGACGAACAAACACTTGAAAGAGTATCATCAGAAGGTACTAAAGACGTTCAATTAGATAATTTAGTTACGCAACGACTTCAAGTAAAAGATTTAGATGTAGGAAAACTTAATGTGTCGGAACTTCAAGCAAGCAAAATTCTCGTATCTGATATTGAAGGAATGACGTTGCAGGTCAGTGAACTAGATTCAAAATCTGGTCACATATCCGTAAGTGGCATTGAATTTTCTCAATCAGTAATTGATGAGATTGTTAAGAAATTTGCCGAGATCTCAACAACAAATATTCCTACTGCAACTCGTAGTCCAGAAGTTCCCGACTTACCAAGACCGATGAGTCGCGAGGAACATACTCAAACGGATGAAATACAGCCCGAAGAAAGAACAGTTGAAAAAACAGAGCAGATTACAGAAGTACCTGAAAGTGAAATTGCAGGACCTTCGACATCACAAGGACTTTTTAGTGTAGACGAATCCACTGTTCCACCTCAAAGACCTCCACCACCAGACCTCGGTCCACTTTTATATTCATATCTACAAGATCTAGCTATTCCCTCAACGATGTATCCTCGAGCGAAGCCATTTGATTTTCATGAACCGCACCATCAAACTCCACCGCCACCTGCACGAAGGGCAAAGAGGAAGCCTGCCGCTCTGCCGGCTACTGAATCCAGTTCAGATGAAGTTCAGATGAAGGCTCGGCCATCGCCTCGACCAATGCCAGTCAAGCCGCACGAGCCAACTGTGACTGAGTCAGGTGCACAATTCATTCGAGCTTGTCATCATTCAATAACACGAACTATTAGAAATATATTCAACACTTTCATGTCTTATATACACGGTCATGAAGACAAAAAAGATATGCAAATGGCGTTGGTTATATTTTTAGTATTGATCGCGGGTTTGATTATGTTCGGACTCAGCGACGGCCGAACTGTACACCATCATCATTGGGAATTCTTTAATCCACCTGATGGCAATCAATAAAGTATTGTACTTAGCTTTCGTCTACTTAATCATAAGTATTTTAGTTTTCAGTCCACAATATAATAGTTAATACAAATACCTATATAAAAAATTACTATGCATGTTACTAACATTAAACGTTGGATGTAATTTAATTTAAACAAAATTCTAGATTTTTGTTTTTTTTTTTCTATAGCAACATTTGACACTGGTGTAAAGTTTAACTAATGCACTTTTCGCACAAATATAAAAATTCGCACGAAATTTTTTATTAATTCAATACGATTAAAAGCTCAAACATAATTACGAACGACACTTGTTTCTAACTATATTTAAAAAAGAGTTGTTAAGTTTTTTGTTACTTATATATTCGTTGTTTATAATTGATTCGTAAAAACTTATTTATTTAAATTATTCTTAAGGATTCGGACTATTTGTTATTTATTTATATCAACTAATTGAAATGAAAAATAAAACATCAAACAAAATCTTTCTTACCATTTGCAGAAAAGTTAAGCCAATCCAAATCACAGAAAGACATGTTAAAAAATTTAATAACTTTTATTAGGTACTATTATAAGGTAGGTGTTGTTAAATAAAATGTCTTCTATCTACATCTAAATATACATATGTATGTTTGTAATATAAATATTGTAACGTAGTGTGGGCTGGTATTATGCATTTTGTAAGTTTCCTCTCGCAATTGTTGTGTAAATTATAAAACGAAATTAAAATTTGTTAAATAAAGGAATTATTTTATTTCCTACCACTTTAATGTGTATATTATAATTATTAAAAGATTTAAATCATATGAAACGATAATTAATATATAATAATCTTTTTACCGCCCTTTTCTTATAAGGAGAGGATGGGAAGGGGAAGTGGATTTGACGGCGGAGGAGATGCATAGGAAGGGGAAATATCCTCTTTATGTGCGTCTCCTCCTCCGTCGTATAAGAATAGGCAACGCCTCTGCAATTGCAGATGTCTATGGGCAGAGGTCGCTTCGAAATTTTGGCGGATTCAGGTGGCCGCTTGCTCGTTTGCCAACCTTTATTATAAAAAAAAAATAACAAAAACAACACAAATGGATAAGATATGAAATAGTTTTTGAGGGGATGTCTGAAAATAGCAGTAAAGATTAAGTTGGTATGGGCATTTACATGCCCTTATTACTAAGGAGAGACGAATCGCAAGTGACAAGGAGAACTTAAATGATGAGTAGGGAAGGTTTCACTGGTACATGTAGGCTTAATGAAGTGACGACGAAGGAAGAATGATCGATTTGAAAGTCGAAAATCTGTTGGGATGATCGATTATAGTGTGTCTAAATAATTTAGATTAGTTTGACAATTCATTTCTAATTTAGTAGGGATGGGTTGTGTAAAATCAGTCATGAATCTTATCGATTTTCGATTTTTATTCTTTTTCTGTCATCGCTAAATTCTCTACACTATAATCAATACTAGAATTATCCTATAAATTAGTTAATAGGAAAATAATAGTTTTAGTTGAGTTCGATAATTATTTAAACCGAATATCGATAGTTCAAAATTGTTCACTACGATACCTGTCTATTAGGCATAGCATTTGCCTTCATACAAATTGAATTCAATACTTCATGTGCTAATGAGAGAGAGATGATGAACTTACAGGATGACAATTTCAATTAATTAATTAAAAAAAACACAATATAGTCAATAGATGGCGCTGCTCTTGACAGTCCAAAAGTTTAAAACTGATATTGTTTATAAAGTTTACTATATTATATTTTTTATTTACAGTTAAATTTATATTAATTGGTTCGACCCAATAGCTTTTCGTTTTTTATAGTTCACCTACTGACTTTGTGGTCAAGTATGGCTAGGCACTGAAGTACAATGAAGCTTGTTATTATTTAAAAATATATAGATATAATTTTGTTAATTAATATGAAAATATACATATACTAGCTCTGGCTCTAAAAAATCATTTTCCACTAACTTGGTGAATTTTACTTCATTAAATCAGTTACATATCGATAGATGGCGCTGACTGTCTTATCTTGTTCAAGTCAAGACACATTAAGGACATTTGTAACTAAAGGTTGCATGCAGCTTGGAGACCGCCAAAGCGAATCTCATCCGCAAGCATCTTATGTACTCGATATACCAGTAAGTATGTACGTATAAAACGTTGTACGCATATTTACGGAAGTTACGCGAACGAATGGACGTAAAATTTGATATAATTGAAGTGAAATGTGGAGCAGCTATTTTTTATTTGTAACCTAATAATGGGACATTTATAACGTAATATTAGAATTTTACTTCATTGTAAACATTTGCTAATTCAATAATTTATTCCAATAAGTAGAAAAAATTTTACTATGTAATTATTATTATAACAGACCAAATAAAATTAGGATATATTGACTAATTGTGAGTTTCAATTGCAACAACATTGTTTATACGTTCCTAATTTAAATAGTTTACCTACGTGCTGTAGTGCAGTATTATTAATATTTGTAACAAGAAAGGAAATGTTTACGTAAACATTTCAATCAATCCAATATGCAGGTCTTTGCAACAAGTCACGAAATATAAATGTAACTATTCCGATAACTTGACTAAGTTTGCGGGCAAATTGAAAATGGATCTCATTTTCTTCGTCTACGTAGATTTTAAATGTTTTCTGATAGAACTATACTTCCGACGGACCATATAAGTTTGTCGTGCTATAGTCATAAAAGTGTAGGGTAAAAAGGCAGCTAGATCTAAGATCGCTAGATTCGCCGAGGCCGGATTTATCATTACCTGTCCCCTGGGCGAGACTATTACAGCGCCCAATAACTGCAATACAAACCCATACAAAAAAGGCACCGTTGGCGCCCTATTATGTTTGGCGCCTGGGCGATGGCCCCAACGTTCTTTCTAAATTGACTACGCTTGTTAATTTCTTTCTATGTCAGTACTTCAATGAAACCAGTGCATTGCATGGTGATTTTAAATTTCAAAGTATGCACCAACAAGGTTAGACGACTTCGATAAATATTTAAGTGTGTGTCCTAGTTAATGTGAGAGGGCTATGCTAACCTGTATCGTTTTTTAAAAAAATGTTTCGAAATTTCGCAAAACTTCATTAAGTTTTAGTCAGTTTATATTGGGTGTGTATGGATTTGGATGGGCATGTAATTAGTGTACATAACACTGTGCGCCGTAAGACCGGACCTTTAAATCTAAGTTTGGATTTGCCAGACATCTTCGCTCACACTCTCAGCAATAGTAAGGTTCGCCATTGACGTCACGGAGGACATTATAATAATGGGTATGCTTTGTATGCTCGTTCAAACAAATACTGATTTCTTTGCGTTATTTAAAAAAAAGTTTCTCTTCTTTTCTATATCCAATTTAAGTAAATATGTTCTATAATTATAGTGTATATCATACTTATATTATAATTACGAAAGTTTAGATGGATGGATATAGGTAAGTTTGTTAGAGTTTGTAGCCTCAACGGCTCAAAGTACATGCACGAAATTTATGGAACAACAAATGCGATACTCGCTTTAGTTTTTTTTTTTAATTTCACGCGGAAGAAGTCGTGGGCGTAACTAATACATAAAAAGCTATGTTGTGGTGACAAGTAATGTAATTAGGAACAAGTACAGAAAAAGTGTAATTAATTGGAAAGAAACAGTTATGAATAATATTAAAATGCAGAAGAATTATGGCATCAGTGTTTGATCAGTGTATTCCTTATATTTTTATTCTTTTGGTTCCGATTTAAAAATTTCGCAATAGGAAACAAAAAACAGTATTTACGAACAGATCGAATAATTTTTGAACTCATTTCAGTAAATAGAATTTCGAATATTTATTTGAGCAGTGAGAACTAATGGGTGTGTTCAAAATATACTTTTTTTTTAGTAATTCAAACTTGAAAAATACAAAGTTTAATTTTTCGTCTCCTTAGTGACAACCCTACGTGAAGCTTCGCGTTGTATTTAAAGCCTTCAAGGTAACGATGGGCACGATGAATCGAATACATCAAATAGCTGCAACAGTTCTGATTCAATTCGTTGACATCCTTTGCTTAGTTAAGGTAAACGAGGCTTTTACTTGATACGGGAAAGTTTTAAAGGTATTCCTTGAATATTTTTATAGTAAAATAAGAGTATCACTATTAGAATTGATAATAACTTTTTAATATATTTCTCAAGCGAAAAAACAACTTGGAATGGCGAACTCCAATTTTGCCGACACTTCTAGAATGCCAGGCGATGTTTGGGGTAAAGGAACCGGGAAGGTTAGTATGAATTGGTAGTACAGAAGTATTTCAGCTAATCTTTCTTAGAGATTTCGTTGTGTCACGAGGATACATAATCATTGATATGATATATATTTAGATAGTTAACCCTTAATCAAATATTGAGCAATTATTTCCAACCTGCAGTGGGCCAGCGTGGTTGACTAAGGCCTAGTCACCCTTTACTTAGGGCAGTCTCCGAGCTCATAAGTTGGGACATCTAGTGAGCTGGTGGTGATGATGATTTCCCACTTGACTTTACCAAAATATCTTTTAAAATTTAACTCTTACCTAAAACCTTTACTAGTTTACTGTTATCTAAAAAAACTGTTTGATTAAGTGTTAAGTTGCATTGTCGATTTTACCTCGACTTCACTGCATATTTAGCTAATGGGCAACCCTATCCAACAAAATGTCCACGTAACATACTCGCTACAGTATCCCTAACCTGGTATTGTGCTTTTATTAGACTTAGATAATAATTTAAATTAATATATTAAATACCAATTTTTTTCCTGACAAGTGCATACATGCAATTAATCACAAAGCGAAAGTTGATAAGTAAATAATTTCAAATTTTGAATTTGTTCGAAAAACGCAATTTTAAGGGGTTTAGAAAAAGGCTGTTTAATTATTTATATATACTGAACTATAATTAAAATTAAATGTATCCTTGATGGTAGGGCCAGAGGAGACAAACAGAGGTCTCGAAAAGCTACTTTCTTTTATGAGGTTTAATAATAGAATTAAAAAACATTTCGATATAAAATATACACATTACACATATTCTTAATATAGACATAAAGCGTCGGGTTCGAATTCCGAAATGTTTTATGAATTTCATATGTACGTTTACCCGACGTTCTTACGGTGAAGTAAAACATCGTGCTGCCACCAGCACATCACATCATCACATCTGCAAAAAAAAATGTGTGAAGCCAACCCACCCGCAAGGGCCTACATGTTTAAATCTTAGTGCGCCGACTCCTCGTATGTGGGATATAGATAAAGAAGATGATGATGAGTGTTCCTTCTTTTTAATAAGATAACATAAAGCTATTTCAATAACAAGCATTTATATAAACGCCTATTTTTTTACGGCATTTTTTGTCAGTGCGACAAGTTTGCTATTCAAAACGCCTAGGTCTTGCAACACAAACACACTAGCGCCATTGGCTTCAAAAATTATATCACCGTTTTTTTTTTAAAGCAAAACATTCGAAAATTATTTTTCTACGATATTAATGATTAATTAAATTCTTATTAGGCGTATAAAATACGTACAAATTGCGTTTTACTAGTAAAATATTTCATTTTATGTTTGACAGTTACTGGATAACTTTGACTACTCTACTGGCAATATTTTTGTTTGACATAATTTTAATGCTGTTGGATTGTCAAATGATCACAGTGTAAAACGGTGTAAGTTCTATTTTTTTTATAATTCTAGTTTTGACTCTTTTTAGAGGTATCTTTTTAAAATTCAAACATTTCTCGCCCAGGACACTAAGAAGAAAGTTACCAAAATTTGCTTTTAATTTACTATAAAATATATTAATATTTGATAATTTAGTTAAAAAGAAGATTTGAAGTGGATTAAAAATCGAGTTTAAAGGAAACATCCGTACAAAATTGCTAAAATTTATTTATTTTTATTTTATAAACACATTATTAAACTTGTCATATTAAAATTGAGAATATAATGAATAGCAATAATGGAAAGATACGTATTTAATTTTTTTTAAACATTATTGTAGGTTTATCAGAATAAAAAAAATGACATAGAAATTACCATCAAATTGTAAAACATGTAAAGTTCAACTTCAATATTTAATTTTTTAACTGAAACATTTTAATTTACGCATCCAAAAATGTAATTTAATAATTATTTTAGTACATACATCTGTTTGTCCCAGTTCCGTTCTGATAAAGTTAAACATATACACCGTGCAGCACGCCGTTATGTAGAGCTATACAGCGTGCGTTTTGAGCAGAGGTATTAAGACAGCAGGTGCTGTACCATAGTTGCCTCAGTCGCTTTTGGTCGTTCGTTGATATAGTCGTTTACTGGCTCTTTACTGTATTGCCGCGTGTTGAAAACTCTACTTTCGCACGATTAAACTACTTATTTCTAGTCAATTGTGACATATAATTTATTTAACCAACTCTGTTACACTTTAAAATCTTGTTCTTAAAACGAATGCACTTATAGTTTTAGACGTTCAGTGAAATTTGTAAAAATAAATCTTGTTGCGTTATTATAAGCGGTTTTAAAGTTGAACTGTGTTTGGCTCCAACACATAATAAATAGGAACTATGCAACATTGTGGATTTTGTTCAATGGTATCCGATTTCTTATGTCGAACTTTATGTGTTGGAAGCAGACGAGGTAGTAGTGACACATATTACCGCGAGCTTGGGGACCAAGACACATTGGTAAACATACTCTATACTATTTTATGTTAGCATCGGCCTTTGCTAGTATGCATGTGCTATTCATTTATGTTATTGTTTAAATGTCGTAAGGTGTGCGCCCATCGATACGTTTAAGACCTGACAACTAATTGGTTTATTTACGCTTTTTGCAAATTATTGCACATAGTAGCGTGCTAATCAGTTAGCCATGAATGGACGTCTAATTTAACTCAAAGTAAACACTATTATTTAATTTTACGTTTTGTTTTCACATTTTTATTTTATAAATTAAAACTTTTTTGTTTACGTTTTCTTTGTATTTGACAAGTGAAAGTTAGATTTCTCTTTATCTTGTGATTTCAAATTTTCTATTTAAACAAACATGTTAGTAGATTTTGCAAATGTGTTTGCATATATTTTTAGTTGTGTACTTCATGATAATGTCATAAAAAAAATATTAAACATATTATTGGACTTTTTATTTCAAATCCTAAAATTTAAGTACTGTTAAGGTAAAATAAAAGAAAGCTTTTGTTTCTATATTACTTTCTAATAGGAGGAGGATTAATTTTAGAGTTGGACCTATTTTACTTTTATTTTTCATATAATATTAAATGTAAAATGTTAACATCTTAAACATAGTTTTTATCCACATGAAGTATGAAACAAAATACAAAAAATAGTAATTTTCAACTGTTGGATGTCATGGAATGATATTTTATTATAATTTTAAAAACTAAATATGCAATACCAAAATGAACATATTTCAATATGCAATTAACATTAAAAGTAATTAAAAACAAATATCATAAATAAGAAAGAGGAAAAAAAATCTTACAAACATGCACAATCTCATCAGCTCAACATTACTATAAAAATATGAATGTATAAAAATAATGTTACAGTGAGCTAATTACAGTTATGAATGTCCAAGTTATGAAAATCCAAATTGAAATATATAAATAGATATTTAATATGAAAAAGTAATCTTTAACATTTCAATAATAATCAATAATATTTCATAGGTTATTGATGTGATGAAATTCTTTCCGTGTCTACCAAAGACAATATTCAAAAATCAAAGATAATCTATTATATATAATTTTATTGTATTAATAATCTATAACTAATACTAAAAAAATATTGAGAAAATAGATAAGTAAATTGTCATAATAAAGATAATAATATTAAAAATGAAATCTACGGAGCCTAAAAATAACCTAAGATGGTTTTTTCATAAGATCTTTATTTCTTTTAGTATCAAAAGTATTTATCAAATAAGATAAATAAAAAATACTTTTTTGTTAATGTTAAATTATACTTATTATTTATAAGTTCTTTTTATAAAAATATTATGCATAATTTTGTTTCACAAGAAGGAGTATTGCTTAGTTTTTTTTTTAATACATTCTATGTAGAATTTTATATATTATCTTAAATATCAAATTTGAATCAATCAAATGGTTTTTTTATAAATTAAAATATTGTATTTTTATATACATTTAATGTTTGTCAGATATTTAGTATGTAGACTTATAACTTGCACTTGTAGTTACTAATAGAAACTTTATTCTTACTAATTGTAGTCTTCAGATATACATATATAAAAACATCTGCTATAAAACTATCTTAAAAATGAATTCTGAAATAATCAATACTTTTCATCAAAAGCATAAAATACAATTTTAAACGTTCGCAATCTCGATTGCTAAATTAAATAAAAAAAAAATTAAATAAATAAAATCTACGAGTATCAAGTTTTATCCAATATTGATGCGTATTCGTATACTCGTACTATGTATGTATAATCAAATAGTACATGCTAAGAAAACCAAGCGCGTTCAGTTTACACAAAATACAAACAAGATAACGAAACAAGCGACTAACGTAAAAAAAAGAATAAAAGCAATGACGTATACACGAGTATACGATTTGGCAACAAACACGTGTATACTGACATATGGCCCTACCTCAACCTACATTGCATATATCACTTTGTATAATCAAGTTAATAAATGACTCATAACTCTCGGTCGCGAAGTTTTTTTAAATATAAATACGTTATCAGTGACGTAGCAATCTTAATGATATATTCGACAGCTATTTCAACAATAACTAGCACTAATTGACTATCCGGCTATCATCAGAACGATGCTATCTGATAAATTGTATCGGAAAATTGGTTTTTATTGATGATTTTTTTTTTCGGGATCGCGGTCAATTGTGTTATCTTCAGACGTGAAATGAGTTGTCTTCTGCATGTTGACAGTAACTGACTTATACTTATTGGTAACAATTAGAGATTTTTACTGCAGTCAAACAAAGATAACGTTTGGAATAATATAGGTGTTAACACAGGTGTCACTCCAATTGAGTCCTAGGGCAAAATTACATAGACATTTACTCTATAAATGACAATTATATTAGTAACGGGACGAAATAAGACGTGTAAATTTCGCCAAACCTGTTTCGAAAAACATAAATTCCGAACGATATTATTGATTCGAATTTACCGTCCATTGTAGTAGTTGACATTCAGATTATAGTAGAAAGCAAGCTGGATATATGTAAAAAACGTAATGCTTAGTAGATCGATGGTAGTGGTAACGCGAAATAGAAACGAAAGATCCTAGAACATGTTCAAATTACAAATGATGATGTCTCCTTGTCCTTCCCAAAGGGTTAGAGGATAAGATTTGACGGGATATCATGTTTTCTGAGTACTATGTGCAACTTATTAACGTTGTTCAAACCAAACACCTTTCGGCCAGATGTTTCTAAACATTTTTTCCTAGTAGACCACTTCTAAACGTTTTATGGTTATGATGGAACTAAATCTTTTTGCTGTAGGTGTATGGAGGGGCGTCCCCCCATATTTTCAGTTATCAGTTACCCGTTATAATAATTTATGTGAATTCGATATGCAATGAAAATTATAATTTTGGTTTTAATAGAAAATGATTGTTTACTAATATGAGTACACAACAGATAATTACATTCACAATAATAAAAAAAAATGTTTTACGGAATATTATATAATAGTATCCAATGTTATTAAAAATAATAATTATCGTTAATTTAATGTCGAAGAATCTTGTTATTTTTTATTATAAAATATGAAGCTGCAACAGTTGCGACTGGCGAGCGTGAACATATTAAAAATGAATAATAAATCAGGCCAGTAATAAAAATTTGAATAATTAGAAGTAATAATAAACCTAATATATTAATTGTAGTAGCTAACTCGTCTCATAGATTCGCTGTTTAAAGTTTCTTCCTTGTCTTTCTAAATTATTTTAAACAAGTATTTTCTATCAAAACGGTAACGATAACATTCTAGTTATCTCTTTGTATTTCCTACTAAATAACATAGAAACTATTACAAAAAAGTCAATGTTTTAGCTATAAATAATATTCGATAATATGACCTTCATAGCAAAACACGCATACTTTTGTACATACTTCGTGATATATTAAAAAAAAACCGGTACATCTTTGAATTGTTAAAACAACTGCATCTGAATTTAAATGCGTAAAACTAAAAACACAAACCTATTAAGATGTGTGAATAACAATTGCAGAAATAAATTATAGATAAGCCTGAATTACGTCGAAACATCAAATTTAATTATTGAATACTTGTCTATATTTTATCTACACTTTTATAATAAAGCGTAAACACACACTTCCTTGTTTCCTAAGATGTGAGCAATTACAGCATATTTTTATATTTTTTGTATAAAAAGCTGTATACTTACGTCATGCTTTATATTTTCACGCCATTAAACTTAGGGAGTAAATATTTTGGATAAAAACCAACAATAAAACTACCCAATTGAAGCAAGGTTGCTATGCTTTGTCATGTCATGTCATTTTGACATTTGCAATTGATAATTTGACAAATGTGAATAACCAAATAAAGTTTTCATAATTTTATGCGGATGACGTCGCACGGGAACAGCTAGTTCCTACTAAATCTTTTATTCACTTTAGTTTATATTTAAATACAATATTTTTATTACGTAGATATTGTTAATGTGATAAAATATGCATAAATATACACAACTTATTTCATAAATATAATTTTATCCGTACTCATTGTTTATTATATTTATAATGCTTATATAAGATTTAAAATGTGTGAAAAACACACTCAAAAAAAAGACGTAGCTAAATATCGCGATTGTCCAAAGGGAGATTTTCCTAAGATTATGTAAACATTTATAATAATAGGTAGCCAAACCTCGCAGGTTTCTCTATACCACATTTTAGGTAGAAAATATCAAAGAATGAGCAAAAAAAAAAATGATCAAAAACGTATCTTTTTTGGAAAAATAAACTGGCAGACGTCTTCAAAACACATCAAAATTGTTAACGCAAGTTGTTCTTGTTACGTGTTCATTTGATACTTTAAATTGCATTGCATCAGGACAAACAAAAATGTCAGTACTAGTTAAATTAGATTTTTGCTAACCAGTAAGAGCGCCTTTATTTGTTGTAACCCTTGTCACATTTGGGTTGTAATATGTCGAAGGCGTTAGCGGTTGCTGGCCACCCCATTTTAACTAAAATATGCAGTAACTTGTACAATTTAATGTAGTAGTCGTACATTGTTTTGCTGTTGAGTAGGTCGACGAACGGGAAAGCCCATGACCTTATTGAATAACAATGTCACGCAAAGGTTTTTATTTGCAGATTTTTGTTTTGTTTTACATAAAGTTGAATTAGATCCTAATCGTCTTTTCTATACATATAATAAAATTGGAGTGTCTGTAATATCAAAAGTAAAATTCCAGATTTTGGGAAGATGATGTATTGGCGATAACGAAAATCGCCTTTAAAAATGTGTGTGACTGATTGTCCGCAAGCCGCATTTGTTCCGGGTAATCGCCGATACGGCTAGACCGATTTTGACCGGACTTTCACTGAAGGGTAGCTCGTAATGTCCGCTCTATTTCTAGTAAATTATATTTGAATATTTGAATGATTAAGTCGTTCACTAAATGTTACTATCAGTTTAG